GAAGAAGAGGAGCGAATAAGAAAGTAGGTCAGTCCATTGCAGCCATTCTTAAACTTCCAACTTCGCTCATACACTTGCTGAACTGACAGGTACACATTACAGTACTGTCCCTTTATTCGCTGATGAATTTCTAGTTTCACCCCTTCAATTTTTTTTTTTAACAGCCCATCACACCTCTTTGGTCCATGTCAAAAGTGAGTGACGATCTTTAAACCGTCATTATGATGCCATCCTGTTTGTCTGCAATGTGGTGTCAAGTGCTTAACACTTTCAACATCCTTAACAAAAATACTGGCACGATGTTGCAATTTTGGTCATACTTTAAAGGTTTTCATTTGAAGTCTTCTTGTGTGTGTGTGCGTGCATGCATTTGGTGTATATATATGTATGCATGCATACATTTCACACCCTAGCAAAAAGCAACAATATATTTTTGGGGGGAGTAATTTACATCATGCTGCTGCAAGTCAAAGATTTTAGTGGCTATGTGTTACATTTTTCCTGAAAGACCTAACAATTTTAATATGGCAGATGATCAAAGTGAAGACAAAAAGTACCACATTGTAGAATGAAAACACAAACATCAGTTTCCAATACCAGGGTGACAGTTTTTACGAAAACAAGTTTAATTGACATTAAGAATTTCAGCACATCAGTTCATGACAAACATAATAAAAATTTCTTTCCCCTGAAGATTCACTTTTTAAATTCACCGGAACTCTTCTTTTAATAAAACAAGCAACAGAATAATCAAATCACACTGGTAGATTCTTCCTCTTGAACAGCCCTTGAGGTTCACTGCTGTAGATATCACACAATTCAATTCAGTTGGTGACTCCGAGGGTTCGTACATCAGCTTGTATTATCTCTCCACCATATTTTTTGGTCTGCTTTGTGTTCTACCTCTTTAAATCTACCTCTTTGTGTATGTAGTTGTTATCTCTGTTTTCTGCCATTCTCTTTGCCCCCAATCATCCATCAGTCTATTAGCTTTTATGAAGCCAGTAACAAGTGGTGATTTAAAGAGATTATAAATTGTGTTGTTCTAACAGGCTGACTGAATCTTTTGATATTTCCTTCATTGGAACCCACATGGGTAGAGCTCCCATCCCCTCCCTTTTCCACAAGCATGGACCACCAAGTAGCACGGACTGTCTCTCTCCCAGCAGTTTCCCAAGCGTGGCCCTTCATGAGGATAGAGACTCATAAGCAAAACTACCAGTTACAAAAAGTATCTACTACATCACAAATATCAGCTGTTACTCTCTGTCCCCTAAAAAATTAGTCAGTCAGTAGTAATTTCTGATAATGGTACGACACTGTAAGTAACATAATTTGGCTAGAAGAACAAAACATGTTATACATTTTTTTTATTACCAACCAACCATTACTCCAAAATTCAAGTCCCAAGGAGCTTGTTACAAGTAAATTTTCACCATGTACACTAATAGTTGTAAGAGTTGTCAAGGAAATCTGAGGCGTGAGCACTAGTTTCTAGACCAAGCATTTCCCAAGGGAGATGGATCATCTATGAGTTTGTCCAGAGTGCTGTAGTAAATCTGTATAAACCTTTACGCCATCTTTCTATGTATACTATTGTCATTAAATTGTGCACACAACAGGTTTAAAAAAAAAAAACTACTATCAAACTAAGGCAATACTAGCTGACAAAATCACTGGCTACAACCAAAAAGTGATTACATGCGTAAGATGACTAGCCAAAATTACCAGGTATGACCAAATTAAAAGATTTTAATAAAAAACATCTCAGACAGCCAAAATTTTCTCGTATAACAAAGCAAAAGGTTTAAAATAACATCAGCTACAGCAAGAAAAATATTTCAGTCGACTGATATTTCCCCCCCTTCGTTACCTGAAGGTCTAAAACCCTCAATCTAGAAAAAGACTAACAGGTAAGATCTCAGCTACCCCAATCAACTTCCAAAAACGTTACAATTTTGATACCTCTATTGCCCCAGTCTTGTGCAGGTAAAGGTTGGAGAAAACCACATACATAATTCATTGTGCTATTCACAGATGTCACAATCATCAACAACTGCCAGTTGTACTGTTCTAATACATTTACCAACAAGTCGCAATACAACAAATAATGTATCAGGACAGACAACGTGATTTGTGTCATTTGAAAAAATGCAGTTTTTGTGTGGATGTGCTGTATGTAACTCTGTAGAAATGGACCTGACAAAATTCAGTGACCTGTGCCAAGCAATAATAAACTGTGCAATGTATTTGTGTGCACATCATTTAAATGCATTACAGAAACATGTTTTGAAAGAAAATTAACAAACATAACCTCTGCCTTCAGGTGTAGATTGTACGAAGTGCTAGCCCTAAATTCATTTTGAAGGACCAGCTAGCAACTGAAAGGTAAAAGTAAACAAGCTTTTAGAAAACCAATTACATGTTTAAAACAGGGGGAAAACTCCATTTCCATCATCAGCATATTTCTATACATGGTACAGGCAGGACAGAAACAAAAGATGACAATATTTTAATAAACAAAACAACAAGTGACAAGACAAAAAAAGGGCACAAGACAAACAAAAGAATGGGACAAGACAAAGGACGTCACAAACCAGGCAACGAGATACCTGAAGCACATAAAACTGTAAGTATGAAAACCTGAACTAACTACCAAGATGTCTCACTGGCTTACTCATAATTACTGCAGAAGAAGAAAAAAAACTGGACAAAGCGCAGCTATATTAATTAGTGTGTGCTCTTTTATAAACGTTTCATTTGTATTAACTCGCTTCTTTCTTAGTGACTTTCTGCTGCCATAAAATAAACACTGTTCTTAGGGTAAAGTTAGACTCACTGCAGATACCTGGGGAGTGAAGAGTTAAATTATGTGTGGTCTCCACAGTGATGGTTTGCAGCAGACTACCCCTGTTGTCTGTGGGGATATTATGAGGTGAGGCCCCAAGCTCTTTCTCTAAGGGAACAGCGCTGTATTTTTTTAAAGCGCAGGAATCAAAACCTAGTAAACATGGATCGCAAAACTGTTCTCCGCATTTGGTAAGGTCTAGGCCACAATGCTGCACGTAAAAAGGCAGGTTTAAGCATATTTGGCATATGAAGCTGGTTCTTAAAACTGCAGGAAAAACAATCATTTAATTTAAACATGATTTAACATCAAATTAGTCTAACTATTGGCTGAAGAAGGCTTCTGCTAAAATGAACAGCAGTGATAAGATCAGGTTTTCAATAACATACTGGCATCATCACAAACGTACATCATGGGAAGACCATTCCAGTGTGGAAACCATGTGTTGTTTTCTCAACAGGTTATAACCCTCCGTAGCCCAATCACAGCCAAGCTGTGAAGGGTAAACACGGCAGGGATTCGATTATTGTTATCAGTTGGGCTCAGAAGTTCTGGGTCTTCGTAAAGCTGGCTGTTTTCAATTCTAACACTCAAACACTGCTCCACTAGCTAAAAAAGCAAACCCTAATAGAGACTCTATCAGCCAAAATAAACATGAAACCAAGATGATATATGCTAATTCAACCATCTGACAACGAAAATCTATATCACTCCCAAGAATGGACCCCTTTTTTTTTAAACTCAAAAGAACGGTATACCCCCCCCCCCCCCACAACCTTAGTAGAGGATAAAATGCTTAATTAACCTGAAATACAACAGGTAGGGTTCATGAATATGCTATAAACATTGCGCACCCTTTGATTATTGGGAAAATAAACAGAAGGCCAGATGGACTGACTACTTTTCAAAATTAAAAGGCTATTCTATGTGTTTCTGGCATATAATTGTCAGAATCTTGACTAGTACTTTGGAGTTGGTGAACACAACATGGAACTTTCTAGACTGACTTAAAACAAGAGATCACTACTGTACACTTTAAAGTGCAATGAAAAAGGTCCATGAATATCACATCAAACCGTAAATAAAAATGGCTACGGTTGTCACTGGTTTGGAGCATGCATTTAGGAGTTATTCTACAGTAGTCATTTACTGTTTCTAAGTCTCAAAAGCTCAAGATAATCACCGAAATGATGATTCACAAATATAGTCTAATCCATCAACGCATAAAACCCTAAAAGATTAAAAATCACTGCTCTTGAGAACTTCAGCTAACAGAAGACTATTTTAAAAACACATCAAGTGACTATCTGAAATGTGGTTAATAATTTCTAGTGCAAAAAGAAAGCTTCACAACTATAATTAATTAATAAAACCTTGAAAAATGATTAAAATCACTGCTCTACAGAATTTACTATTAACAAGAGACATCTAAAGAAATATCAAGTGATTCTGTGTCTGAAATACTAATAGTATCAAGTGCAATAAAGATGCTTCAGAAATTTGCAAACCTTATCTTAAATACTGTGAAAGATAATTGAATAAAGTCCTTACTATATATAAATCAAAAGGCATTTCATAAAGTCTTCAGGGGCCTGCTTTCCCTTAAACAAAATGCAGCAGGTCTGAGTGTTTTCAAATCTGATCCAGCCAATATTCAACCCTCTGGCCTTTATATTCTCTTGCTCTGTTTGGCAATTCTTCATGCAGATCTTATTAGCATTCATTTGTGTCGAAATTGGGTTTTTTCGACAAGGAATTGAAGTCACACCATCTAAATGGTCTATCCCATGAAATACTATTTTGGGCGGCGGACGATGTAGCCCCTCCTGACATTCACCTTCTTTCTTCCTTTGCGAGAACGCCACACAAAAATCTGGCAACGAGAAGAAAACAGCATGAAAAAGCACAAACATCTAGAGGTCATACAAGAACAACGGCAAAATCTGTTGAAAGGAGAAAAACGGTAACGACACTTAAGGTTGCTAACTAGCTTCACACATTGTGTGCAGGCAGGCTTCAGGCGTGTCTGCAGTAAGGAGTGGGCAACAAACGGAATTTTATCTCTCTTGGATAAGATTCCCTGACTCTGGCCGCGTCTCCTACACTGTTGATTATGATGACACGCCCACGGGAAGCCCCTGCACATTGTCCCCTAAATAACTGGGCGGGAGTACTGCGTGTAGGTCAGATTGTAGCTCTTGAAGCTGCAGAACTGGTGGTCGTGACGCTGGTAGCCTTCAATGGTGTCCACTCTCTCTAGGTGCTTGTGCGTGTCCCGGGCTATTGAAGCCTGTAACAAAGCCACCCAGAATTGACAATATTGTAAAGATCTCTTAAAGTGTAGTTCAAACAACTTTTTAAAAAATGGTATGTTTTAATGGAGTATGTATAATACCTATGTAAAAAATATCTGTAGGATAAAATGACTGAAGGAAGCCACCAACCTAATCATCCAATACTATTGAGTGAGAAAAGGTAGACTAGGAATAACCACCAACAAAATATAACTACCAAAAAGAACCCCAAAAAGATCTGATGTGAAAACAAGAGGGCACCCTAGTATAAAACTGACTGACGACATTAAGGACACACTACACGGACAAGAAATAAAAGCATACGCTTAATTATGAAGCAATAGATTGCGACCAACATCAAAAATAGACACCGGACATTAAAGACACATGGGGTCTAAAATGCAAAAGATTGAGGGATTAAGAGAAAGATCAAATCTGTTTTTAGAGAGCACGATTAGAGCAACATTCTCCAAAAAACATGACTTTCTAATAAAACTTAGAGCTAAAGTAACAGAAGTTTAGAACCGTCAACAACTGAAACAGAAAAGGTTGGCACACTCCCGTCCATGCTGTCATGCACAGTTATGCAGCTAAGCGCTACCACACACAGGCGTTACACTTGATCTCAGATCTGAGATCAAGACGGTACCCAAAAAAAACAAAGGACTGATAACATTCAAGACACTGTAAATTCACGCCTAATAATGATTCCATGTGGAGTTGTAGAATCCAAAGCTTAAAGTTAACAACTAGAAATAAGAGGCTGGTAGACTGCTGTCAAACTCTACACATGAATATTTTAAGGTGAATGTTCTCGAGAGAGGTCAAAGGGACTGGAATAGATTCCATCCCTGATATTAGATAGGACTGGGCAGGATATATATAACAGACTGGAGGATTAGACAGCCAGTCCTGTGTCTGGTGGCATGATAGGATGATAATGATAAATCATGTGATTCCAGTGAACACACATCTGTATCCTCACTGGCACTGAAGAGTTCATGTACTGTGCAAACACTTAATGGTATAAAGCAGGGCATGAAAAAGAGTAAAATGGTTAAGATAAAGAGTGACAAAACATTATTTATCATCAATTAATGTGTTAAGAGAAATAAGCCAGCAATCATCAATGTACACTGTTAATAAAAAAAAAAAAAATTCCAGACACTGTTGTAAAGAGCTCCTTTCATCAAAATTAATTAAAGTCAAAGGTTAAAGTTGAGAGGGTCAATTTCAGTGCATTAGGTTTTATCCTTTATTGCCCGGTCTCTCTCAGCAGAACAACTAGCCACCTGCCAAGAGGACGAGCTCCGTAGATCAGGTTACAACCCCCCCTGCACTTGCCAACCAAAAGACGCAATGGTGAAACTCGAAGCGCGAGGCAAACGGCTCGGCCACTTCGCCACAAGGACCCCCCAAAATTCACTAAAAAGCAGATCAAACGGTTTTGTTATCCTATTAGAATGTAGCCAGAAGAGCTATCATCACATGTGTCCCATACACACACAATCTCATGTGAGAGCAAGGCCGTGCCCAAGAAGATGGGACTGATGACGTTATACATCCACCCTGAAATGATAATGGCCTCGAGAGACTGAGTGCGAATAGTTTTGCCTCATGTCTATTACCAAATGTAGAAGATTTTTTTGGGTATATAGGGCTGGACGTATAATTTATACAACAATCGGTATTCAGTGGGCGATACGGTGAACATCCTGCCGGCCGCCTTACTTCCCATGACTTACCCACTGAAGGCTGGGTTAACCTGGGAGTCAGGGTCATCTTTTTTTATAAAGTTCGGTGCGGCCCTGACTTAAACCCTCAACCTTCCGATCCCCACGCGAGCGTCTAGCCGCTACAACAAGGCGGCTCCCGCACAGCCATATAGCAGTTGTATGGGATCACCATAAAACCGTTATAAAGTAACTTTTGTTTCAGTCCATGCTGCTCCCAACTAGAAAAAGATGTTGATTAAAAATTAGTGGACAGAGAAAAGGTACCTGGTTCGCAAAAACTGTCATCAGAAACTTCCCAGGGTTAAAGACTTGCAGCACTTTCTTAATCAGGTTTTGGTATGATTCCTAGAAAGAAAAAAATTTATTTAGGTGAGATAGATGAAGACAAACAAGACTTTGGAAATTTTTCTAAAAAACACACACAAAACATGACCTGATAGGTCGGGGAGCAGACATCTAACTAGATCAAGAGACAAAAACAAAAGATCAAACAAATGACTGAATAAACACTGGAATCAGATAAACGGAAGAGAAGGGAATAAGGACAAAAAGATGTTTTAGGACAAAAAAAAAACAAGAAGCAAAAAAGAGACACAGATATAAAATACATAAATATTATGTAGATCAGCCCTCACTATTTATGTCAGGAATTAGTCGTCTTCATCTGGTTCATCCCTAAAAGGATGCCTGGCCTCTGTGTTGTGGTTTACAGCCAGGCTGCGATATCCGCACCTTTTGGTCCAACATATCCGCTTTCAGTAAATCGAGCATTAATCACCTTTCATGAAATGCATGCTACAAGTCAGTGGCTCTATTCCTCCCCCCTCCCCCAATAAACTACACAGAGAAATAATTACAAACACTATTATTGGGAGAAACAAAATAGAATTATGGATCACGCAAAATTACAAAGTGCTTTCCAATGATGATGTAAACACTCATATTTTGAATTTAGCTATATCTATTTATTTTTATGAGACAAATATTCAAATGCAGATTTTAATGTTTTCTTCTACAGAAATTTCCGAAGTCATTGCTGAAGATATCAATTGCCTCCGCTTATCATGACTCCAAATATGTGTAGGTTTCCCTGGATATTGTCTCTTCACTGTCCTTTGTTTATTGTGAATATGCACAATAAAATGACAACAGGTAAAAACATCAAAAGTAGACAGCTTGTTTACTATGAATATGACAATAAAATGACAACAGTCACAAACATCAGAAGTAGACAGCTTATTTACTATGAATATGACACAATAAAATAACAGTCACAAACAAACATCAGAAGTAGACAGCTTATTTACTGTGAATATGACACAATAAAATAACAGTCACAAACAAACATCAGAAGTAGACAGCTTATTTACTGTGAATATGACACAATAAAATAACAGTCACAAACAAACATCAGAAGTAGACAGCTTATTTACAATGAATATGCCACAATAAAATGACAACAGTCACAAACAAACATCAGAAGTAGACAGCTTATTTACTGTGAATATGACACAATAAAATAACAGTCACAAACAAACATCAGAAGTAGACAGCTTATTTACTGTGAATATGACACAATAAAATAACAGTCACAAACAAACATCAGAAGTAGACAGCTTATTTACAATGAATATGCCACAATAAAATGACAACAGTCACAAACAAACATCAGAAGTAGACAGCTTATTTACTGTGAATATGCCACAATAAAATGTCAACAGTCACAAACAAACATCAGAAGTAGACAGCTTGTTTACTGTGAATATGCCACAATAAAATGACAACAGTCACAAACAAACATCAGAAGTAGACAGCTTATTTACTGTGAATATGCCACAATAAAATGACAACAGTCACAAACAAACATCAGAAGTAGACAGCTTATTTACTATGAATATGACACAATAAAATGTCAACAGTCACAAACATCATAAGTAGACAGCTTATTTACTATTAATATGCCACAATAAAATGACAACAGTCACAAACATCAGAAGTAGACAGCTTATTTACTATTAATATGCCACAATAAAATGACAACAGTCACAAACATCAGAAGTAGACAGCTTGTTTACTGTGAATATGCCACAATAAAATGTCAACAGTCACAAACAAACATCAGAAGTAGACAGCTTATTTACTATGAATATGCCACAATAAAATGTCAACAGTCACAAACAAACATCAGAAGTAGACAGCTTATTTACTATTAATATGCCACAATAAAATGTCAACAGTCACAAACATCAGAAGTAGACAGCTTATTTACTATGAATATGACACAATAAAATGTCAACAGTCACAAACAAACATCAAAAGTAGACAGCTCACCTGTGGGACGTTGCTCTCAAAGCTGACGTAGCTGCAGTGTGGCTCAGGGGTCACATGGATTGTGATGTAATAACCCTACAATATAAAAGACAAAAAATATGTTTTCCCATTGCAGAACTCTTTTTAATGGTTAATGTTTGATTAACAAGATGCATACACATGTGGTAATTGTAACTAGGGCTGTACCGAATATTCGCATCGTATTCGCTTCGGGGCCGAATAGTGGACCTATTCACTACTCTGTATTCGGTCGAATAGTTGCGGTCGGGCCGAATACAAATAGTTACCTCACACCCTCTTCTGCATACACGGGCTTAACGCTGACAACATGGAACGATTGGTTTTGTTGAAAGCTAATTCAGCTTTTCTGCATTAACTAAGCTGTCAGTGACAATTTCCAAGTTTAGTTACTTGTTATAATACTTAGGATTCTTTCAATCCTAGTTATTAGTTACCACAGATTCACCAAAGGATGCAGATTGTGAAGATAAGGCCAGCCAGAGAGATGAATGGAGACGAGTGATATCTGCAGCAGTAAACCTCAAGGGCTCAGAATGCTAAAGATAAGATGACTATTCTGTGCTACTTCATGTGAAGTAAAAGTTCAGCGTACATTTGACATTATGAATGTTTTTTAAAGATATATTTTTTACACTATACACTATTCGTATGCGTATTCAGCCGAATAGTTGATCCCACTTTTCATATTCGGCCGAATAGTGAAAATCACTATTCGGCACAGCCCTAATTGTAACAGACTCTGAAAGCATGCTGAAAAAAGTGAGGAGAGGGATGCTTCGAGCAGAGTGGCTAGCTTCACTGGAAAGGTCATGGGTGGTGAGCACACTGCAAGTGTGCTTTTACACTGTTCACTTGCCCCCTCAAAAACCCTCACAACATTTAGCTTGTCATGAATCAGTTCACCAAATAGTTGTGCACAACCAGCTAGTATATCTACATGTTTATTTCCTAAGGCACCAGCATTTCCTTGAACTGTTTTTTTTTTTTATAAAACCAATCACTACTTTAATATTACCTGAAATAGGAATAAACAGCATCAATATATAACAGAATCTACTGTTAAATACAATGTGTTCTGTAATGCACATTTTGGTAAGTGCACTGGCAAATGATAGTAATGCTCTCAGAGAGAAAACAATCGGAGTGTTCTAGGGTCAAAAAGCCTAAATTGCTGCTAAAAATGGAACTGGGAGTTACATATTCTGACAACAAGACCAGATGACAAAAAAAAGAGGAATGGGTGGGCAGGGGGTGTCAGCGCAAGTGTGCGATAAAGCAATGAAGTTCAGTCTGAACTGCTACATTTTTAGACACTGTTTGATAATAAGCAGTGAAGTCTTCAAATGGTGGTTTTAATATGCATTATAATTAATGCTTCGAGTACAAACAGGACAGATACAACGAGAAACACCGGTCAATGGTAGAGATGGACAGAAATTAGGAAAAACAAATTTTCTACGGTAAAGGTCGAAAGGTCCACACAAGAGACATAACAAAACTGACAGATGCACATCAGGGCCAATAACACTAAACTGTGACAGATACACACAAGGGACACAACATTCAACTCCGACAGATACACACAAGGGACACAACATTCAACTCCGACAGATACACACAAGGGACACAACATTCAACTCCGACAGATACACACAAGGGACACAACATTCAACTCCAACAGATACACACAAGGGACACAACATTCAACTCCCATAGATACACACAAGGGACACAACATTCAACTCCGACAAATACACACAAGGGAAACAACATTCAACTCCCACAGATACACACAAGGGACACAACATTCAACTCCGACAGATACACACAAGGGACACAACATTCAACTCCCACAGATACACACAAGGGGCACAACATTCAACTCCGACAGATACACACAAGGGACACAACATTCAACTCCGACAGATACACACAAGGGACACAACATTTAACTCCGACAGATACACACAAGGGACACAACATTCAACTCCGACAGATACACACAAGGGGCACAACATTCAACTGATAAAAAAGTGTGCATACCCCAGGCAGAAGTCCATTCATAGAGTATCCGCAGGGCTCAAATAAGAAGTCGTCTATCTTGATACCAGGAATGATGTCACAGATACCAGATTTCTGGAAATTTAAAAATAAGACAATATGAATGTTCTGCATTCTTAAAAAAAAAAAAAAAATAATAAAAATAAAGTGATACTGTGGTTTATGGTTAGGCTGTTATACCATTTGGCTTAACACATATCACACCAGTAATACACTAATTGGTTGTTTTTTTATTGCAATGCTTGAAGGGCATAAATAGTTCAACTTTACTTCCTTCGCCCTCATCGCACAATCGTACGCCTCTCGCCTTCCGCTCGATCGCCTGACTCTCTATTTGTTGCCCGATTGTCGATAGCCAGATACTTGACACTGATTCGCTAGATATTCGGCTGAGTCTGTCCTGACTGGTTATCGGTCATTCGGTGTTGCGAGTGGAATTTTTGGCAGCCCGTATTCGCACCAGATATTAAAAATTGCGTAAACTGCGGAAAAAGCACGTTTGTTGCCCTTTTCATAGCACTCAAACAAGCCTTGCCGATTCCGCAGGGATCTAGCTTTCGGTATAGACCGTAACTGACCAGCATTGCTTTCTCCATCATGGGAAAAAAACAGCAAGCAGCCGCACCTACACCAAGGAAGAGGATGGCCATACCCGCAGCATCTCAACCAGCATCACCAGCAGGCGCCCCTATCGCGGCGCCTCGCTCACCTATGCCAGCAACTGAAGCCACCCCCATCGTGGCGCCAGCACCAGAAGCCTCCCCTATCGAGGAGCCGACACCTGAAGCCTCCCCTATCGTGGAGCCACCACCTAAAGCCGCCCCAGTCGTGGCGCAGAGACCTACCAGCACACGCCTACCAAAGCAGCAGCCTGGAGCCCACACCACAGACATCATGCAGTGCCTACGCTGCAACAGGGCGTGGCACACCGCCGCGACCTGTCGCAGTGGCCCCATTTATCGGTGCTGCTCGGGGGGCCCACGATTTTAAGGAGTGCCCGCTAGCGAAACTCGATACCGACTTCAAAAAGCGGAAATGCAGCAACTGCTCAGGTGCACACAGAGCAAGGTACCTGGGTTGCCCATACCTTAAGAAGTGCAGGAGAGAAATGACAGCCGCCACCACCAGAGACACATACCAGGCGCCCAGAGAGCAAGAGGCAAGACCGCCGAGAAACACACTAAGAGACAGACAAAATGATAAGGCACGTTCCGCCACCATGCAAAACAATATACCGCAAATAGTCGACGAACTGAGAAGCCAAATCACAACACTCCAGAAAGAAAGAACCACCGCGGCCGCTGAAAGAACGGAGACCCTGGAACTGATTTCCCTACTGCTAGGGGAGATCAAGGACCTAAAGGCAGAAAGGCTGGCATACACTACCCAGCAAACAGACAGTCAGAAGACACAGAAAACCTTCAAAGGACCAGAGAGCTACTTACCAGCCTCAGAGCAACCCAGGCAGAAGAAGAATTACGCCGCCAGTCAGAGAGAGAGGAGAGAAGGAAGGAGCTAGCCGAGTTAAAAACTGTACTGGAAGCCGCATCCCGCGAAGTCGCACAGCTAGAGAAAGCCACCGCAGAAGCCATAACAGCAGCACAAGCAGCTAAAACAGAAAGAACCCTGCTGGAGAAAGAAAGAAATGCTTATAAAAAGCCAAATACCATCAGGGCTGACAAAGGCGTCTCCACTGACAACGTAACAATGAAGCATCAGGTGCAAATGACTGAACCAGAACAAGATGAAAACAATGAAGAAGACTCAGAAGAGATCCCAGTAATCACAGACACAGAACAGTCAGATGGAGAGACCATATCCGATGAAGAGTATACACAAGCAGAGCAGGAGTTTCCGACTGCTAGCAGTGCACCGCCCGAAGAACCCGCACCGTACATCTTCGATAAGGAACAATTCCTAAGAGACCAGGAAGAACACTACACACTAGAGAACTGCCAAGTATGGAACGCAGAACAGCAAAAATGGGGCCCACTACAAACCACTCCCACCCAGAGAAACAACCGAGGAAGACGACGACGACGCTACTAACGTAGCAGAAACCAAAAACCCGAGCCGCCATCTTCAGGAAAAACCAGCCCGCCAAACGAATGACGCCAGAACGCCACCAGAACCTGACAGCAGAAGTCAGACCCCACCCATTCCGTTCCAGGCCACCCAGGCACATATGGCTGTCCTTTTCAGGACTGCCATGTCCACTCCCAAAAACCTGCAAGCCGCCCGCCAAGCCCACGCTGCTGACATGATGCAACAACCAAAAGGAAACTCAGGCGAAAATCATCGCCACAAAAGAAAGAAATTCAAGCTCAGATAGCAAATAACCCGTCCTTGAGAAAACAGGCCATCAGGCGGTTAAAAAAGGACAAAGCTTATCTTTTTTGTTTTCTTCGAACGAACGAACGAATCCTTCGCCCTGCTGCTGGTTCCATAAGGCATAGCAAAGGAAAGTCAGATGTACTTTCCTGTCCTTTGCTAGTTGCATAACTTGTGTTATTGTTATATCGGTAGTGTCTTTATTACGGCCCCCACCCCCGCATCTCTCTTTCTTGGTCAGCCTCTTGCCTTGCAGTCTGCTGTTACTAGTTTAGTACACTTTAGCTGTTGGCTGATTTTTCTCCATTCTGACTAGATGTTCAAGATACTTTATTCTTTGATATTCTATTAAATTATTTACCGGTACTGTGCCCACAACTGTACTTCATTGTTAGTTGGTGACTGTCTCTTTGCAAAGAGTGCAGATCAATACACACACACACATATATATATAGTATGTGTTTTACAAAGGAAAAAAAAAATTAAAATCTACCAAAAAATAAGACAAGAAAAAAATAAAAAGGTCAGTACCTGTGTAGCTTCTTTTCCATCCGCACAGATTTCTTTGGTGAATATTTTCATTTTATTGGGGCACAGTTCCCACATCAGAAGCTAGTCACAGTTAAGGATCTGTCTTCAGTACATTTTGTATGAAATAAATTCTTTACTATGCTGTTCCCACACAAAAATAGTTATCTGATGGCGTGCTTTTTTTAATAGATGGGAAAGCCTAAAAAAACAACCAATGACACATGTAAAAGTGTAAATTCTTCTTCTTCTTCGTTCCCCAGCTGTAAGTTCCGGCAAAATGTCATGGCTGGTCATCCATTTGGACTCGGCCTCTGTGCCAGGGCCTGAGTTTTGCGTGTACGTGCACATCTATTTCTACTGGCTTATTTGCATGCAGTTAGTTGTCCCTTGCCACTCAGGAAGATGCACTCTTAAAGGAAGTCCTATGACGTGCTTCTTAGGGAGGCAGTGGGTCTATTCTTGTTTTTCTAACAACCCACACTGGGAGAACTATCAACTGACTGTTTGAACCCTTAAGTATTCTCGTGTGAAATCGGAACTATTTCTCTCAGATTACAAAGAATTTGAGCGTCAAAATGGGGTCCCTTTTAGAACCAAAGAATTTATGTCTTTCTTTTCATTTTTAGTAGTATTGTTTACTACCTAAAGTGTGCACACTATGTGACCTGGTTTGCTGACATACATTTCTTCTTTCTCTTGAGTTTCATGACATGAAGTGACCTTAGGTACCTTGTGGATCATGTGGTCAGCACCCCGCTGGTAGTCAGTGGACTCAATCTCTTGGACTACCAATTACATATATGTGTTCGTATAGGAGTGAAAATGCTGAAAGGACAATTTGTTTTTTAAAAATGCGGATCAGTCATCTAGCACAGACAAGATGTTTCAGCCTCGCAGACAGACAAAACGGACGTGGAAAAAAATGCTGACACAGAGATAGGGCATTTTAAACTATGAATCCCACAGATAGTTGTACTTTCGGCCAATCTGTAATGTAAAAGGATACTTCAAACGTCTGATCTGGTTGCTCGACGCCACCGCTGTCTAAAGTGTATAGATACCTGAAAGGCAAAGGCAATATATATATAAACATACAACACAAGCTACATAGGTCATGACACTAACCATCCACCTGTGGTCAATCAGGATTAGTATCATGACAAAATCACTATTGGGACCTTTGAAAGAAAACATAAATACATTTCAGCCAATCAAAAGATGAGAAAATGGTGCTAGCACTAGATAGGATTGCAGCTGGGGGAGGGGGGGGGGAAACCTTACAAAAGTAAAAGCTTTTCGTTCTTTTCAGAACGAAATTTTTTGTTATTTAAAGCCCCACTCTGGCTTTTGCCAGGGGCCGCAATATAGGCAGGCCATAAATATGGTCAATTGTCTGAACGCGGTTTCTGGGACCTCTCCACGGCGATCCTCATCCACATGATGGCACTTTGTGTCATCAGGTGTTTATCGCTTGTGTGATGTCATGGTGGGGTAGAAAGTCATTCAGTCGGTAAAAAAAACACCTCAAAGGATAACCTGATTTGAGGACAGCCCGACCAGTAACCACAAATATAGTAGACAGGGCAGAGAGCATGTTTTCTGGTCCTAGCTGAAAGTGGTCATGGCAAATATTTAACTTAATTGGGAAAAAAAAAAATAATTGGTAAGTGTAATTAGAATGCCCTTGAAATAGAATCCAAAGATATGAAGAAGAAAAAAAATAGCTAGAACTAAAAAACACAGAAACTAACTGAACAGGACACATACTGAGAAAAGTCTAGGGAGAAAAACAGAACCCCCCCCCCCCCCCCCCCCCCCCCCCCCCCCCCAAAAAAAAGAGAAGTGAATTGGAGATAGCAGTGAATGGGAAGGGGGCATAAAATGAAGAACAGAGAGGTCTCATGCAAGTCTGTTCATGTCTATGCTTTTTCAGAGAGAATACAGGGTAGAAGAAACCACTTTCAATGAAAATGAAAAAAAAAATTACTATAATCAGAGGAAAGATAATCACCATTAAAAAACAAGCCGGGACATCACAAATACAGAGGCATCTAAGTACTTCAAACCACTAACATGCTGCCCTAAATAATATAACAGGCTGAAATCAATAACTACAATGTTCCAAATGCTTAAACAAAATTGCTAGAGTGTGATCAACTGGGAATGAAAATCTGAAACCAGCTTGCAACATCACAGATCAATAAACCTCTTCAAGTGTCTTGACACAGCCCAACATTTTCCATTAGATCCATCTAAAAATCAATAACATGAGTTGCCACAGTGGATATTTGTTTATTTATTTCTATTCTGGTCCTGAAAAAAAGACCTTTAGGTTATAACAAAAACAAAAACATCTTTATTCTAAAACAAACTTTAAACCAGAAAAGTAATTCAAAGATTCTAAAAGTGTAAAAAAATAAGTAAACAGTAGATTTAAAATTAAGTTCTAAATAATTTACTCCACAATTACCAGAATTTTATACTGACGAAATGACACTTTACTGCCAAGTCGGCATAATTTGAGCTGTCCATAAAAGTATCAGTTTGATTTTCTTCCGAAATGTCTACATTATCATTATATCTCAAGGGGTTAATTTAGCTACATAAAATTAGCAGAGCTTTTAGACGTAATAAGAAAAGCAGTGAGGAAAGTAACTGGGTACGTTGCCTCATCATAAGAAGGGTTAGAAAATGCGACCAATCTGAAAATTTAAACACATAATGACAATATTTACCGTAGAACCAAAAAGCAGTTTAAAAGCACTTCTTAGAAATAAACACACATGTATGTCCCATCTGCTCACATAAACATGGCTACAACAGTCACATTAGGATAACATGCAGTGACTCACCAGCAATCCTTGTTCATACGTCCCAACACATATGCAGCACTGTCTGTGGATAGAAATAAAACACTGTATGATAACAGCACGCAAGAAATTGATTACTTCTACGGCATTTCAACTTCCAGTGAAACCAAGAAATAATTTTTGAGAATATAGTTGAAAGATCTATTTTACGAAAAGGTTTCCATGAGAACACTAGGTTCAGCTTAAACTATGCAATTCCTTTCTTCCTCTAGTTAAGGAGTCTCCCCCTTTTTTAATCTGTTTTTTTCTCCATATGCCCCAACCATTATAGCTGATTAGCCCCCACCATGTCAGTAATCAGAAACAAATTAGAGGTAATTAGTTCTCCTTACTGGTTACTGATGTTATCAATGCCATGCACTTACCATACCGAGGAGCAGCCAAAAGACATGACTCTGTATCTCTGTCTAGCCTGATGGACATGGGGATGCAGCCTGGAGCTGCAAGAAATGAACATTTCACTAAGGGGACAAGACGTTTTATTAACCAACACAGAACAGGCGTCATCAGTAGTTTTACATTTGTAGAGCTTTTCATTAGGAGATCGGAACACCTATGGATCTGTCCAGAGTGCGACCATGATAATCCTATCTAATCACTAATCATTTTACTGGTTTAACGCTTTCTCAAGACAATGAAAAAACCAGATCTTCCATCTGTTATTTGTCTATAAAATCACATATAACAACACAAAATTCCACATGTAACAGATGGCGAGCATGTCAAGTGATGAATCTTACTATTAGATATTGTTTGTGCTTGCAACATCCTATTTATAATACAACATCCTATTTATTCCTCCTGTAAAACCATTTCCAAACAAAGACACTGCTATATTTAACTTCCAATATGCAGTTTAGAAATAAAGCCATAACTTTCTTTTATCCCTTCCTTTTAAATTTCAAGTCACAGCATTTGGCAGCTATTTTCCGTTTCACAGCTCATTCCACCACAAATAGCTCAAAAATGTATGTGTGGACCAAAACAAATTTTTTTCACGTGGCCTTAAATTTACCATGCCCTTTTGATTTCATAATGCACAACCACTCAGATGCTGCTGTTTTCTTAAAGCAGCAAATTTCTTCCTGTCCTTGTTTGAGACTAAACATTTCTATAACTCTGAAAAATATACCATACAGCAACTGACACATGTGGAAATTAGAAATCAGTTCACATGTGCAGTGATGCACGAAACTAACCAGTCAAGTGATCCATGGTCCACAATGCACACACAAAAATGGTTACAAATGAAAGCCACATTGCCAAGGTCAGTAGCCTGTCATACTCAATACTTAGCTCCCAACAACAACAACAACAAAACAAAGTGAAAGACAGACTGAAAGTCTAGACTGCAAGCTATTTGATACTAGACAGCATGATAGAATAAAGATTCTGATAAAATCAAATGCTTACTTGTGAACATCTGATCAAGGTGATCAACTTCCTTGTCAAACGACTGGTGCAAGAAGTGTTGCAACTCTGGCCGAGCAAAATTCTTGCGTGAGTAGAATATGTCCTGGTTTTATAGAGATTGATTCAAATGATATGCAAACAAAAGCAGATGTATCACACACTCAACATATTCAGTCACTTAAGTGTACACGCAACTAATTTCCGGGAAGTATGCATTGTACTGGCCACACCCACTGAGTGACGATTGGTCTAATAAAAATGTGAATTCAGTAGTTACTACTATTTCAGTGTAGGCAAAGGGTATTGCTGTCACCATGACCATGCAGGTTTGGATTTCACTTTCGCTGCTGCCAGAAACAAATTTACAACCTCTCTAATTATTCAAAACCGGGTCTCTCGCGGAGAGCCTGACCGGTTAAAACCATTCTGCCCTCTGCTCCAATGACGTGAAAAGGGTCTGTTTTTACTTTGAAAATGGCCTGATACTTTTACTTATGTGTGGTATTTAAAACCTTTATCAGAAAACTATCAGACTGCTGTAATAGAGATAGTCTAGTAAACACTATGCTCTATTTGCAAAGTGTTCTGCATTTCCTAGGTCAAAGTACAATGTACAGCGATCTGTTAAAATGCTTGGTCATTTATACAATGTAAAGTGGATAACGAACTATATGCATTGTGCTATACTGCACACAATAACACTAAAAAATAAACAAGTCAGGCAAAAGAAGAAAGTGGAAATACTAAAAATAACAAGGCAGATATAAGTGGAGAAAAAACTGAATAAGAAGTTATATAGAACAACCTTTAAAAATGTAACATAAAAAAACAAGATAAAAGATTTCAGAATACAACTAAGCAATAGGACAGAGGTATGTTGCTGTGACCGAGCGGCTAGACGCTCGCTGTGGATCGGAAGGTCATGTGTTTGCTCCCTGGAGGAGCCAGACTTTTTTCAAAAATGACCTCGGCTCCCAGGTCGACCCAGCCTTGAGTGGGTACCTGGTGCTGTCCCGGGAAGTAAAGGTGGCCGGCGTGACAGTGACCACATAACCCACCTTTTGCCGACTGGTCTATAAAAATTTAGGTCTAGCCCAACATGCCTAATGACGTGGAACGGGTCCTTTACTTTACTTACTTTACTAGTAGACTTAAGAATGTGAATACTCTAAAAAATTGAATTAAAAAAGAAAGGAAAACCCAGACACAGTACACAACTACACTAATTCCACCTTCTTATATCTGCCTTTTTTATTTCTTAAAGCAGCCAGACATTACTTCCCCATCACGAATATTGCATTTCAATGACTATAAATATGATAGGAACTTTGGTCAGTTGATGGTAAAGACCAGGCAGCCATGGACAGAAGCAAGCATCTTAGCTAAAGTCTTTATAAACAAACACAAATGACCAGAAAACGTTTTATTTGGTCTAAGTTTGCAAAATAAATCTGGACAGTACATGTTGTATCGCTGAAGGTCATACATTGATTTCTTCAGTGATTATTGTGCTAAATTGGGCTTCTATTATGAAATCTTCTGGGACTGAGTTTTATCTTAGAAAATTATATTTTTTAAAAAAAAGTTTTGGTTTTTTGTCCACTTCTGGACTCCAGTCCTGTTTCAGAACCTGAGCGTTGCATGTACATCCATTTCACAGGGCTGACTCATTTGCATGCAGACTGTCGGTTCCTTGCTTTTCAGGCAGATGCATTCCGATTTCGAAGAAAGCTACCAATTAATCGACTCTTACGACATGCTTTTGGGCAGGCAGTGGGTCTATTTTTGTTTTCCTTCACAGGGGAGCCAAGAAACCCACACGGGTAATTTGAGGAAGTAAACAGATTACAAATAATAGATATAAGCATGTGAACATAACTGGAGGATACTTACAGCGACATTGTCAAATCCGCATTCTCTTTTAACAAGTTGAATCAGACCCTTGACTGCAAAGAGCAAAGTGGTCGTCCCGCATGTTTTCAGAATGAATCTGTTCTTTGTCACAAACATACTGCTCTCACTGTAATAAGAGTGTGCGCAATCAGATATTAAACATCCTTGTGGTTGCAACATCGAACATTTTTAAATGCAAACTCTTGGCAAATATATCAATGCTGATGGAAAGAGATTTAATCTCAACAGGATGTGCTGTGTGTGCAAGCTAATAGAATCAGGATGGAACATTTTTACATGCAAACTCTTGTCAAATATATCACTGTTGATGTTAAGAGATTTAATCTCAATTTTATAAACAGGATGCGCTGTGTGTGCGAGGTAATGGCATCGGTTGAAGTTAAAACCATTAGCAGATTTTAAAAATGAAACTGAATAGTTTATCAAAGCAAAGTTTCCTTGCTGTAAGTGTGAACAAATAAGACAACTGATTGCACAATTTATTGCCTGGCTAATTGTGCTGCACATCATTAGGTTGACTCAAAAGCATAAAGTCAAAATCAAAATGAGAACAACAGTAATTGAATAAACACTGCCCAATGTATACCACCTTCTGAACTTTATGGCAATGCTGATTATGGCACATAGGGTTTGCAGTCTATTCCCCCATTCCACTGTCTCATGCAATCAATTCAATATCATGGAGGAAATCTGCTTTCCACCAAATAACGGGCACATATTTTGGCGGCCAAAAACACACCCTAACAGGGCCTCAGTCACATGTGAAATGCGGACATCTGGTCACTGCCGGGAGTATCTCCCATGCCGCTACGCACGGCGGGCCTAAACTAGATGGCTGGGACTCACGAGCAGCAGCTAATGCATCTCCTGCAGCTTCCTTCATTTTATGTGCCCATAAATCCCAGCCATCTAGTTTAGCCCAACTCCATGCTGCGTGTAGAACCGTGGGAAATACTCTTGGCGGTGGCGGCAGTCTGCAATTTATGTGACTGAGGCCCTGTTAGGGTGTGTTTTTGGCAGCCATAATATGTGCCTGTTATTCAGAGGATAGCCAGGAAATTCAATCCAGTATCTCTGACCTCTCGTCATGATTAGTTTTAGGGTTTGTTTTGAGCATCCCCACTTTCTCAATCCTTTTTGTCCTGTTTTCAGCACCTGTTTGGTGATTCTCCTCACATTTCTTTGCAGGAAGTCCTGAATGCAGTAACATCTTCTTTGTGTTATAACTGTCGCTACCAGTGACTGTCCTGTCATTTCTTCACAGCTCTTAAATATCCCATTTGATTTTATCTATAACCTCACCTTGTGCACCACTTGGCTTTACAGGAACAGCATCCTTTTCGGTGCTTTATTAATATCCTAACCCAAACAGGGCAAATCCTCAGATCATGGGACAGTCTAATATTTCAGGGGGGTGGCAAATAGGCTGCATGCACTCGTGGAACGAAGGTATGGTGGGGTTAGGGCCAGTTCTAGATGTTTTGGGTCTTTCAAAGCATCAAAAAGCCGGGAAACCCAGTCTTACCACCCTATAAAATGTTGGGACTATCCTGTGATGTCATCTGTGGTAGGATATTAATAAAGTACCCCCTTGTCTGCAAATTCCCACCACTGCATGGTTTCGGCTCTAGATATATGGTGCTAGTGACATATTTTACAGGCCACTGGACAGTCTGCAGATAAGGCAAAGCTTACTGAAACTTTGACAAATGTGGAAACCTAATACATTTGGGGGGAAAAAATTGGAATGCATATACAACATTGTATTGCAATCTTACCTCAAGACATAGGAGTCCATGCTTTCATCTTTCAAAGAGCTGATGATTTCACATTTCACCAGTTTTAGCAACTTTTCCCAGTCTTTCCTGCAATCAAAAACAGAATTCAGTAAAATATAAACGAACAAGTAAATTAAGTCTTAGGGCATTAAAATATTGTGATATTACAATTTGTTGAGACATTTACAAATAAGGAGAACTGAAGTAAGAAAGAGAGTTGTTAAAAAAGTAATACAGAGAACCTAGCATATGGAAGTGAACCAGTCAGTTTAGCTGAGGAGATAGCTGCAGTTGAACAGATCCACTTCATGCATGAGAATGGAGGGGGAGGCAGTACACACATGTCATCATCGTAACCGAGTCAGAGTATGGTGAGAAAGGTGGAGACGGGTATGTTCCGTGCAGAGCGGCAAGCATCACTCTTAAAAAATCCCGGTTAGTTGACGTCCTTTGGATATTTCCTCCAGGTCATGCAAGTACTGCACAACTCAGCAGTGAACTGAGGTCACTGTGTAAGCCAGATGTTGTGAGTGAGGGCTCTTCAGAATTGGAACTCGTCTCTTGCTGCTGAAGATGGGGACGGAGCACTTATGGGAGTATCCTGAGTGATATGATGTTGATCCTCAATTAAAAATTTAAAAAATTCATTGCATGCATCTGATAACAGGGCTGAAGTTTAAATTTTAAATTTTCAGAGACACAGAAAAAGAGAGAAATAATTAGTTTATATAAGGTTGTACTGAATGAAACGGACAGTTAGTTGTCCTGACTAAAAAGTGCATGGAATCTTTCGCTTTAGCCCAGTTGAAAAGTAAATCAAAAACTTTTCTCATACATTAACCCTTAAAAAGGCAACTGCACTGCGGTTTTTTGCTGAACTACCCCCCCCCCCCGCACAAGGTTTCAGACCCCACGCAGAAAAATAAGATTACCCTTCACGTTTTGCAATAGGCATGAGTAAATGATGTTTATAAGACCAACTGGCATTCAAATTGAGGGAGTCAATACCATGCATCTACTCCCCAGGACATTTCCTAGTCCCCTTTTTAAGACTAAGCCGGCCTGAACAAACTAAGGTCGATGTACTCAAATTTGTCCTATGCTATCAGTGTCAAACATGGACACTTATATCCTTCAATGAAAGTAAAATTGTGACTACAGAGATGAAACGCCTTAGAAGAGCTGCTGGAGTTTCAAGGAAAGACAGAATACGAAATCAGACAAATGCTAGGAATAAAGCCAGTCTTACAGGTCATCAAAGAACAACAAATGAAGTGGTGTGAACACCTAACGAGAATGCCCTGGTACTATCTGCCACGCGAGCCACACTAAAATGTTACAATGGGTATAGAGCGAGTGGAAGACCTCAGAAATTATTGAGTGATGGCATTCAGAGCAGCCTTACAGAAATTCAGCCTTAATGGTTTTCTTGACAGAATGTTTAATCTCCCCCTGACACTCTGATTAGGCACAAGAGAAGAAGAAGAAGGCTCCAGTTTTCTCCTTGTGATGTTCAGAAATATAGCCAACCATATTCTTCTGATGCTGGCAATAAATAAAAAGGGCTCTTTTCTATGCCTGAAGGCACATTGGGCATGACCTATATTTTACACCTGAAGGCACATTGGGCATGACCTATATTTTACAGACAAATCGACACTTGGTGGGCAATGTGGTCAGCATCATCCCGGCCACATACTTTTCAGGTCTTTTTACCTGGTACCCATTTAAGGCTGGATTGATCTGGAAGCCAATGTCACTTGCAAAAAAATGTCCAGCATCATCCAGGTTTGAACCCATGACCTTTAGACTAGCAGGCTAGCATCCAGCCGTTACACTATGGTGGCTCCCTCAATACAACTATTTGCTCTAAAAGAGGTTTACCTTCTCTCTAAATGTACTAGTAAAGTTCCTCGTTGGCAGTTGGCACCTTGATTTGTGGCTTACAGCTAGGCTGTGATATATGTGACATTCAACTCGACACATCTGATTTTAGCAAGGCCTCACTGTCACTATTTTCGATTTAGTTATTAAAGGGCAGCGGGTCACTTTTCCCCGCCCCCTTTTTTTCTTTACAAAATGCCCCAGAACCCACATAGGAATGGCAAAGTGCAATGGCTTAGATTTGAGATTTTTTCAAAAAATGTTTATGGATACATAATTGTATTAAAATAACTGATTCTTTTCCACACCTTCAGGTATACGGGGCGATACCCGTATTTTATAGACTAAGTGGCACTCTGTGGGTGATGTGGTCAACATCATGCCGGTCGCCTTTACTTCCCAGGAATTTACCTGGTAACCCTTTGAGGCTTAGTGGACCTGGGAGCCAAGGCCATTTCTGAAAAAAGTCCAGCTCCATCAGGATCTGAACCTACGAGCTTAGGATCCGCAGGCAAACATCTAGCCACTACATAGGAGGCTCCCTGTCGGAGCAATGCAAAGTAAAACAATATGATAAAAGATAAGTCACAAACAAAAACAGCCTGCTGCGTTAAAGCGTCAGAATGTATCCTATCCCTAAATGGTGATCCCGTCTTTCACCGAGTTGATACAGAATAACCCGATCAATTAAAAGTAAATATGTAAGTGACATGTATACAACTGATGTACAAATATATACACTGATGAGGACTTTTTACCAACCCTCAACACAAACTTGGTGATTTTATTCAGGTTAACTTTTGATAATGTTCAAGTCTGGCACAAGTAGCAGTTTTGGTATGAATATGCAGTTTACAATCAGTTTCCTTGCAGTCATATTTATGTTCTTATGTCCTAATAACGGTTTGGTACATAAATGAATAAACAGATTTTTCATGAAAAGCAAATATACTTTTGTTTTTCTAATGTTTTTTTAAAATACAAATGAGTGTAAGACTACAAACATACACCTTAGGACTATTATAGTCTGGAGAGAATGGAACAGCTAGAAATGGCTAGGAGAATCTGGTCGACACCCTACACACAGAGGAAAGGCAAGAAGGACATATAGTCTGATCAGGGGAAAAAATGTTACTGGTACTATCGGAATTAGAACCCTCTGATGGCTGCTGAAGATGAGGACAGAGTGCTTGTCCCGACTGCTGTGATGTCAGCTTTAAAGTCAACACACAACTATGATTTTCATTAATAAACCAGTAAATTAGCAAGCAAACACAGACAAATAGTTATTTCACAACTTTACAACTACTTTAGTCTGAAGATTATATATAACTTACTAACTGACCTTAATGGCTTTCCCCTCAAGCATCAAGTGCGCCACTGAACAAACACCAATCAATTACTAATATTGATGTTGACAATATAAACACAATGTCTTTGCATTGGAACCCACAGGGGTATAGGAATAATGGAAGGCCAAACAACACACGGAGAACAAAGCTGGAGAATAAAGTTAGAAAGATAGGGAGACCTGCATGCAACAGCGTGAGTTGGCTGAGGGCCTATGCTCTACTGGGGGCTAGAAAGGCAGAAGACGATTGACGTTGATAAAGAAAGTTACTGACTTAGAGTTACTCAACTCTTACAAATCTGAGACTAATTTTGAATGGTTTTTTTTCCATCTTTATACCTCATTTTAATAAAATAATCTTGATATCTTGGCTTAGAATTTACATTAGGCGCCTTTAGAAAGAGATTTGTTTAATGTAATATAATAATTTAATATCAGTAGTAGTTGTTTAATTAACTCTTTAAGCCCAAAGCAACGGTGTGAGAGTTGTTTGAGAAGTTCCGTTTTGCCGAAACAACGGTGTCATCATTAATCGTGTGTCCCTTACATTTTGCTTCGCACATGCCCCTTAACTAGTTTCTAATGTTCAGAGGTACGATTAAACTATTCAGGGAAAGTCACTCTGCCAAAATCCTTTTAGTTTCATTTCTCAGCCTAATCCACACGGGCAGAATTTGATATAAATAACAGCAAATTTTTTTTTCAACAGTGAATTTTCTGAGTTCATTTTCGAGTGCCATGAAAATCAATGTTCCAACCACAAGTACAAGTTGCAAAATGTGTCTTTCTGCAGCCGAAGCTCTGAAATTGTTTGTCAGATATTTTTAATTGTGATAACTGATAATAAAAATTTTGACATTTTCAGAAAGTAATTTGGACGGTGAATTTTCACCAGCGAAGCTGAGCGACCAGCTGTTCGGAATCTAGCGATTCTGATGAGTTTATTACACTGACAATGTCCCTTATTTATGCTGTAAGAGAAGGAAAGTGCTCTAAACAAATAGATTGTACTATGCTATGATGACTAAGCTACATTCTTCTTCTTCTTCACGTTCACCAGCTGTAAACTCTGGCGGAAGGTTCTGGTTGCTCGTCCACTACTGAACTGCAGTCCTGCTCCAGAACCTGAGTGTTGCGTGTGCATCAGTTTTACAGATCTCATTCTCTTGAATACAGACTGTTGGTTCCTTGCCTCTTCGGCAGAAGCGCTCCGACTTCAAAGGAAGCTTCCCAATTAGTCGACTCTTACGACATGCTTTTGGGGAGGCAGTGGGTCTATTCTTGTTTTCCCCACAATGGGGCCCCGGAACCCACACGGTGGTAAGCTTAAGCTACATTGAAATCATCGCAGCTACAGTCTTCTGTAAATAACTGTACAGAGTAAATAGTAAATGGTGTGTGTGTAATGGTTCTTTTTTCTGCCATTTTTTCTCTGAAATTTTGCTCAGCACTCTGTGAGTGTGAGAACTAAGAGCCCCTGAGTGCTAAGCTAACCCAGAAAGTTATCATAACTTTGGAGTATGTTAGGAAATTAAACAAACTTTGAAGTTTTGTTCTCAAATTTTGATATTTACTTTACTACTCTTGTGGCTGCAAAACCGTGGTAAGTAAAGTAATGCATTTTTTTTTTTTTTGGTGAAATGTTGTCCTTGTGAAATGAACACCTGTTGAATTCTTCTTTCCTATTAACTATAAACAAAAATAATATAGCTTTTCTTGTACACCCACCCCTCTGCCATTTTTGTAAAGGGAAATTATTGTGGGCCAAGTCTGTCAAAATGTATGGGCCTGAAAGACTTAATCCTATTCTGAGTTGTGAAATTTTTGCTTATTAGAATAAAAGGATTTTAAAAACCTCACTACATTGACTTCTGTATTACTATTCTAGTATAACTAACAGCTCCATAATAAGTTCAGATATTGATTGAGTCACTAACATGCGTTTTCTTGGGTCTCATTCGTCTTTTTTGGGTCTCATTTTTTCTAGAAACTTCCATAATCATAATCCTAAAGGCCCTTTTTGGATAACCTTTTGATTTAAAAAACAAATTACCCTAGACATCCTATAAAGCTCCTAAAAAGTTTACTCAATCAACTATCATGAGTTTGTGGCACTGGAACCTAACCGAAGAATCAGCTAAATTCCTGTATCGTCCCAACGTGCATACCTTTCCCCAACACGTGACGGCAGTCGCCAGTTCAGTCAAAGACGTTTAGAAATTACGTACTTGTCCCTAATAAAATGCAGATTGATAAAACATGCCGACATGCCTGCAAATTTGGGTACATTTTTTTTTTTAATTAACACTTACAAGACCACAGCTGACTAGTCTGATAAATAAATATCAAAAGAAAAAGACAATGTATATTCAATATTGTCTTGTCTCAGACCAGACATAATAATTCTGACCAGTACATATGTACTTTTACATTTACATATCGATAATTTATTCCGATGCCGGCAAAGTGCGTAATAAGCCAACATGCGTGGTTCTCAACTATATCGGTAGTGATTTAATGCACTTTAAATGAAAATAGTAAACAAGTAATGTCTCTTTATTTACACCTAATAAGCAGTAACTTTGTCTAACATTTAAACGCAGCCGTTCATTCCCTGTCTGCTGTAAAAAGTGACACGCAATCCCAAGGGTTTTCAGACATATTACTATTACCTCAAATGAAACACACAACGGACACATCCTTTAGTTTCTCTCACCTGTCAATTGTCCTCAGATCGCAAGTTGGGTCATTAGTTGACGATGTGAACCAGACTTCAAGTAATTTTTCCGTCCCTTCAAAGAAATGCTGACCAGCGGCAGCAGCCAT